AATCTAAGTCAGACATGTGTGTTAAACTAGACTGACAAGAGAAGACCCTATATTTTCCCAAAATTATATAAATGCTAGGATACTTTAAAAGTCTAAGAGCCAGGCGGTGGTGGCACACACCTTTAATCCTAGCACTTGGGAAGCAGAGGCAGGTGGATCTCTGAATTTGAAGCCAGCTCGGTCTACAGAGTGAGTTCCAGAACAGCCAGGGCTACACAGAGAAACCCTGTCTTGAAAAAACAAAACAAAACAAAACAAAAACCCCCCAAAAGTTGAAAAAATACTTTGCCAAACTTGAAAAAAAAAAGGGTTATTTCCACATTCTAGATAAGAGAGAACAGAGGCAGAGCATGGCAGGGAACTTGAGCATAAGCTAAAGATCAATGGCTCCCTTGAATAGGATTAAACACATGCTGTGAGATGGAGAGACTAAAAGGAAATACAAAATAACAACATGGGTAAATTTTAAATTACAATAAACACAATAATTATGAGTAGAAAAAGCAACATAAAGAAATATATTTTATAATTCCATTTATGGAAAATTTTCTTATTTTTGAGATAGGGTTTCACCCCAGGGTGATTTCAAACTCTCTTTGTAGCTGAGGATGATCCTGAATTTCTTACATCATCTGATCCTCCAGCCTTGAACTCCATCTAGGTCCTGGGTATGTTGGTGTACCTGTACCTGGTTTATGTGGTGCTGGAATTCAAACAAGGGCTTTGTGTGTGCTATGTAAATGCTCTAACAACTGTGTTAGCTCCCCAGCCCTAGAAGACTTTAAATGCAAACTAATCTATAGTAACAGCAGATTAATGGCTTCCTGAGGATGTGGGAGATAGGGCTAAATGGAACGGAATAATCTTTTTGGGACGGTAGCTATGCTTATTGTCTTGATTGTGGTGATGTTTTTAGATATGTATATATGTCAAAATTTGTCAAGTTTTACATTTCAAAAATGTATAGCTAATTGTCAATTATACCTTATAATCTGCAAAAAAGAAATGAAAAAAATATATAAAAAAATCTAAATCACTATCCAAGTAAACCTAACATCTCCTCTTTCCTACCCTTTATACAACTTAACTTTATACAATCTATTTTTTTTGAAGGAATTGCTTATCTATTCTGCAAAGATAGATAAGCATCTATCTTTTAGCTTAGGCTTGTCCACTAGCTCTTATAACTTAAATTAACACATAATTTTATTACTCTACATTCTACCACATGGCTTTTACCTCTCTCCCATTCTGTGTGTCTGACTTGTTCTGAGTCTCGATGGTGTCTCCCTGCCTTTCTCTGTCAGGAAGTCCTGCTTATCTCTCCTGTCTAGCTAATGGCTATTCAGTCTATTACATCAATCATAGCAACACATCTTTACACAGTGTACAAATATTCTGCAACACTTACCATACTATTTTCTCTACTTTTTATATACGGAAACATTTTTATGATACAAAAGAAGCCCTAGTCACTGTCTCAGAGGTTGGCTATCTCTTAGGGGCTGAGTAGACATATACTACCCCTCCCCCACCCCCTTTCTTCCAAGGTAGTTTTGTTATTCACTAAAGAGGGTCACTGCCCTGGACAAAGAAAAGGAGTCTTGACAGTGAGATGAATTTTGGGCACCTCTACCAGGTATTGGTAAGTGTCAGTTTTATTTCTTACTAAATTCTATAAATAGTGAGTCAACTATTCGTCAAGAGACATTTACAGTCTGCCGGTCTCGCTAATGACTGAGAACATTTTCTGATTCTCATAAATATATTGCTTGACCCAAGTTGGGGTTGCCATTGTTGATGGTGGTGGTCAATGTCTTCCTCCTCATCCTTCTCTTCCTCTTCTTCAAGACAGGCTCTTACAGTGTAGCCCAAGCTGTCCTGGAACTCACTATGTATCCCAGGCTGGTTGTGAATTTGTAGTGATCTTCCTGCCTCTGCCTTCCAAGTACTGGGATTACAGGCAGGAGCCACCATGACTGGCTGGTTTAATGTGTTCCTATTCAGCCTTAAAGGATGACTTTAATATCAACTTAGTTTGATGATTGTCTAGATTTCTTTGATTTTCAGCTCTAAAGTAAATGGAAGGAGGAAAGTTTTTCTTCCTATATTGTATCTTTTGCTACCTCTCCTTTCTTCAGGTAGCCAGTGTAATTTTTCTTCCTTTTTTTTTTTCCTGTTTTTTTGTTTTTGTTTTCTTGAGACAGGGTTTCTCTGTGTAGCCCTGGCTATCCTGGAACTTACTCCGTAGACCAGGCTGGCCTTGAACTCAGAGATTCATCTGCCTCTGCCTCCCAAGTGCTGGGATTAAAGGCAAGAGCCATCACTGTTCATCTTACTTGTGTCATTTTTCTAATCTTTCCAGTATCTCCCCGACCCCAAAGCAATAAAACAAAAATGTGGCCATGTATGCCTGTAATCCCAGTGCTGGAAGAAATGGAGACGGGAAGTTTGCTGGAGCTTGCTGGTTGCCAGCCTAGCCAAGAAAATCAAGAGCTATAGGTTCAGTAAGAGACTGTCAAGAAACAAGGTAGACCTGGGCAGTGGTGGCACACACTTTTAATTCCAGCACCTGGGAGCAAAGCCAGGCGGATCTCTGTGAGTTCCAGGCCAGCCTGGTCTACAGAGCGAGATCCAGGACAGGCACCAAAACTACACAGAGAAACCCTGTCTCAAAACAAACAGAAAGGAAGAAAGAAAGAAAGGAAGGAAGGAAGAAAGAAAGAAAAAGAAACAAGATAGAGAGCAATAGAAGAAGATGCTCAGCATCCTCTTTTGGCTTCTGAGTGTACACGTAAGCATATAACACACACACACACACACAAAAATATAAAATGTCTCACATATTAAACACACATACATGGTTACAAAAGCTTGTGCTACCACCGCCTGGCTCATGAAGTGCTTTTATTAGGGCAAGTTGATTTAAATAGAGCACATAACTTAAATAAAGTTTTTTAAAAGTGCAGTGATGTGTTCTCAGACATTATATAAACTAGTTTGGGAAAGGTTTGGGGCATGGACAGCTTCCTTTGAAGGCCATCTAAAGTCTTATCAAATACAGTATATTCATTCCATTGAGAAAAGCAGCCTTGGAAGAGTCATATCATACATAACTTTCCCTTCAATAATATATAATGAAAAATTTAGCCTTGACTGCAAGTAATAAAAAGCTAAACTCATTTTTAAAATTTAAAATAGCTAAGAAAGCGTCTTGACTCAGAAGAATGACTAAATCTAGAGGAAGGCTTTAGGCTTAGTTCGAACTCTTTCACAATGTGTCAGCTTCACCTTCAGGCCAGTTTCCTTCATAGGAGCAGAGTGGTTGCAGTAACTATATCCACTCATCACGGCAGGTGGAGTGAGAAAGACTTCCTTCCATTCTCCTCCAAACACAAGCCGTGCCTGGCCTTCTTCAGTGGCTAATATTGTCAGTTTGACAGGATACAGAGTTATCTGGGAGACAAGACGCTGGGTGTGCCTGTGAAGGATAATCCAGATTAGCTTAACTGAAGTGAGAAGACAGACTTTAATTGTGAAGTGGCACCCTGCTTTGGCCTGCCTAAGGTCTTGGACTGATTAAAAAGGAGAAAGTGAACTAGCATTCATTGTTCTCTTTGTCAAATAACTTTGCTCCATTTAGAAGATACCAGAAGGCAAAAACTATGGCTTTCTCGTGGTGTTGATTTTCTCATAGAGCCTGGCTCAGTATCTACTTCTTGCATATTTACAAAGAGACTCTGAAAGCTCGGAAATCAACAGATGATTTGTGTTATTTAAATCCTAACTTTATTAGGTATCAAAACTTAAAGCAGTCATTGAGTCAGGTCCAGGGTTAGGAAGGCTCTCAGGGTACAGAACTTAACAAAAATACCTTCTGGAAAGGACCCAACAGGGAGGGAAAACCCAAATTAGTTGGAACACTATTGCTGTGACCAAGCATCTGTAGGCATTAACATTAAGAAAAAGGAGAAAAGAAACTTGGGTTTGAAAGCCTTTTGACAAAGGTTACATTTCTCAGGGTAGCTTTTGGATCTGGGTGGACAATAAGGACAGGGCAATAGAAGTATAACAATAGAGAATTTTCAACACAAGAATCTGTTCTAGAGCTCAAATCGCTTGATACATTTAACTCAAACAGTAACATTTACCGAATACTTCCTGTTAGCCCGGTAGAGGTCACCGTAAAAGACACATAAATGAATGAAGTAGGTCTTTCTGGAATCTCTAAAATATTTCACACGTTAAGGTTACATATTTAGGCGCCATAAACCGGAGGAAAAATGTCCTAGGAGTTTCAGGGAATATACAGGTCATTTCTGGCTGCTTGATCTAGAAAGGAAGATAGTCACAGTTCCAAGATCAGTACAACATTTGTGGCAGAAAATAGATACTTCTCTAGCTTATCTGTCCTCCAAAATCTATTCTCTGAAAGCATAAAAAGGTGAGAGACCCTGCTGCCTTCACCCCAGTGTTCAGCGCTTTCCCATGTGCTCATCTGAGTCTGGAGGATCCAATCAGGGGGGGTGCTTCGGGGCACAGAGACACCTTCAAAGGACGAAGAGTGAGAGTCCCGGGGAAGTTAGTCCTCCGAGGTGACTTACAGGCTGCACAGAATGGATATATGTAAAACAGGTTTGTAAGGAAAGAATCTCCTCAAAAAGGAATAATTATCTTAGAACTCAGTCACTCTCGGGGCTGATTGGCAGGCG